TAATTGCAAGAACATTACAGAGGAGACGTGCAAAAGTGATCATGTCTGATGGAGGGACCATCAATCCAGGGCACAGTTGGCATCTTCTCAGGAGGTCTGAATCCCTCAGATTCTGCTGTTGCCAAAACTACATGAGGTCCTGGGTAATAATCCTTTGGGCTAGGATTCTTTTGGAAACACAGTTCAGCCAAGGATACATTCCCCCATGCCCCTAAGATATCAGACTCTCCTTCCCCCCCCCCCATAAAGGATAAAAGGATTTTAGCTTGCCTGCCATCCATCCACCCATCCATCCATCCACCCATCCAATAAAGACAATGAGCTTGTCCTCTGCACCAGGCTCTGGGCTGAAGATACACCATACACAAAATAAACAGTACTGCCCTTAAAAGCACATTCCTTATAATGCTAGGTTTGAGTCTAATGTGTACTGGTTTTCACTTTCATGCTGATGACTTTTGCCTTCTCTATTTTGGCAGTTTGTTGCAAAACCCTAGAGAATTTGTAAGAAAGTTATTGGTTAACTGTAAATAATGTTATAAAGGTAAATTTGAATTAAAAAACCACACACACAAAAAAACCTTAATTCTTGAGGGTGGTCCCCATCAGCGTGCCTTTATGTCACATCTTTATAGGATAATTCTCTGACTTCTTACTAGCATGACAAAAGGGCAGGGATAGCTATCTGGGAAGGGGACTAGGGAGCTTCTTGACAGGCTTCCAAGCAATTTTCCTAATTTGAGTCCTACTTTCTCCCTCATTTCCAGAGAAAACCGATGATTCCAAATCAGGATTCATTTTGGAATTCTGTAAAAGAAATCTGCTTACTTTGTACTTTTCCACAGAATACCTATTTGGAAATTTGTTTTCTCAGGATTACTAAATAAGCTCCTACTCAATCTATTTTTTCCCAAAAGAAAGCTGCATTTTCCCTTCCTCTCCAATTTCTCTTTATCCTATCCTATTTATGATGTTATTGTGTTCCATATAGTCAAAACCGACCCATAACTGCCTCCTCAGGCAGGCTTTTAGAGTCAGTAAATCACAGCGAAGGAGACTGCTCACCTTTCTCCCTTGGAGCAGCTAGCTGGTGGATTTGAATCATGTACTTTTGCGTTGGCAGCACAATTCCTTATCACTAGCTGTAGTGGGGTTTCAAAGGGAAACTGGGCATAGTGCATTAATGCTGCCATCTTTAACCAGAAATCCTAACTAAGCAGATATAAAAAGAGAGAAATTCAAGGTAACAAAACAAAACAAACCTGTCAATGAGTAAACTCCAATTCAGAGCAAACCTTTAAGAGAGCAGAATTGATCTGAAACAAGAGGTGTATCACAAGAGGGAGGGAGGGAGGAAAATGTGTAACAATGAATGAATGAAAACCCAACCTTCTATAAACTTTTAGAATCACAACCCTCCCCCCCAAAAAAGAAGAGTAGAAGTGCCCCATAGGATTCTCAAGGCTGTCACACGCTTCTTCGGTAGAGTGGAACGTGGGTTTGCATTAATGACCTTTTGATGAGCTGCCAAGTGCTTTAACCACTGTGTTTCCATGACTCATCTAAACAACATAATCATTATTAATTTAGGGGTTTAGATTCAATCAATTGCTTTTAATTCAGGCATTATCACATTTTACAAATGAACTAGGGAATCTCACTCCCTGTGGGGAATCTGGGGGTTCAGTAATTTGTCTTAATTAAGAGCAAAGCCCTTTAGAAAATTAAAAAGAAAAAAATTGAAGAGAAGAAAAATGTTGACATATCCTTGCTAAGAAAGCCTATGTATGAAGCCATCAATGTAGTAAACATGATCTAAATTATGTAAGTTGAATTTCTTTGTTTATTAGCTGACACAGATGAATTTCAAGAAACAACATATGATCAAGAGGCAATGGAAGGAGGAAGTTCAGGCTGCTCTGAAGGACTTGGCAAAAATAAAGCCCCAGGAATTGATGGAATACCAGTTGATGTATTTCAGCAAACACTCACATGAGTGTCATACTGAGTCATATGTTGTGCTATATGTCTACATGACAGTCCTATATATATGCATATGACTCATATGTTCCACTTCCCTGGAAGTGCTCACCAGGCTGTGCCAAGAAATCAGGAGAACAATTACTTGGCCAACTGAGTGGAAGAGATCCCTATTTATTCCCATTCCAAAAAAAGGTGACTCAACAGAGTGTGGGAATTATCAAACAATATCACTAATATCACATGCAAGCAAAATCCTGTTGAAGATTATCCAAAAGCAACTGAAACAGTTGTGACAGAGAGCTACCTGAAATATAAGCTGAGTTTAGAAGAGGTTGTAACACTAGGGACATCATTGCCATTGTCAGATGGATCTTGATGGAAAGCAGAGAGGACCAGAAGAATGTCTATCTGTAGATAGGCTTTCATTGACTTTGCAAAGGCATTTGACTGTATGGATCACAACAAATTGAGGCTAACCTTAAGGAAAATGGGAATTCCAGAACCCTTGATTGTGCTTATGCAAAACCTATACTTGGACCAGGAGGCAGTCCTAAAAACAGAGCAAGGAAACATTGCATGGTTCAAAATGAGGAAGAATTGTGTCAGGGATGCAGCCTGTCCCTATACCTTTTCAATCTATATGCAGAAGAGATTCAAGAAGCACGGATTTATGAGGAAGAATGTGGTATTAGACTTGGAGGAAGACTTATCAACAACCTACTTTATGCAGATGACACAACCCTGCTTGCTCAAAGAGAGGAGGACCTGAAGCACTTGCTGCAGAAGGTCAAGGAATGTAGTCTTCGATATGGATTGAAGCTCAACGTTAAGAAGACAAAGATCCTCACCACTGGGCCAACTGGCAGCATTGTGACAAATAGAGACGAAATTGAGGTTGTGAACAATGACAGCTTGTTCAACTCCACAATCAACACTCTTGGCACCAGCAGTCAGGAAATCAAAAGATGAATTGCATAGGGAATATATGTTGTCAGGGATCTCTCCAGAGTGCTGAAAAGTGGCAATGTTAGTATAGAGACTAAGCTGGGCCTGACCCAGGCCCTGGTCTTTGCAATTAATTGCTATGCATAAGAGAGCTAGATAATACTAAGGATGACAGAAGAAGAATCAATGCCTTAGAATTGTGGTGCTGGAGAAGAGTCTTGAACAGCCACTGCCAAGAAAACAAGTAGGTCTGTCTTGGAGAGGGTGAAACCAAGTTTTTTCTTAGAGGCTGGGATTTTGAAACTTTGTTGCACATACTTTGCGCATGTGGCCAAGAGGGACCAATCCTTAGAGTAGGACATCATGCTCAGAAGGGTGAAGGGACAGTGCAGGAGAGGAAGACCACAGATGATATGGACTGATACAGTAACTGAGGCAAATGGGGGTTGATGTGTTAGAATCAGGGAGACTGGCTCAGGACAGCACAGGGTTCAGAGCTGCTGTACAAACAGTCACTATGTGTTGCAAGCCAATTCGATGGGACATAACAACAACAACAACAACAACAACAACATGTTGCTTTACTTTCGGAGGGACTTAACTTTCCATGTCCCTTCAATCTAGTTTGCATCTATTCATAGACTGTAACATAGAGGTGGGTGCAGGACTCTGCTTCTAAAAATGGTGAATCGTACTATACTGTCTTTATTTTTTAAAATTTAATTTATATAGGGCTCTGGTTCAAGGTCAATGATACTACCCCTAACCCCACCTACTCTTCAAGGGTGTGCTAATGCTTTCTTCTGCAGAAGCTATAGTAAAAGATCACCCACTAAAGCAACATCCTCTCTTGCTAACATTTACTGAGCACCAACTAAAGAGTTCTAGTGGTGTCATGTGCAATCTCCCAGGTCAACAGTTTGAATCTACCAGTCACTCCACTGGAGAAAGGTAGGCAGTCCCCTCTGGTAAAGATATACAGCTTCAGAAAAGTGTTGGAAGGTCCTTATGAGTCAGAACCAACTTGACAGCAGTGGGTTTTAATTAAGGAACTAGCTAATATGAATGTTTTAACCATGACTTAATTTCATCTTCATAATGACTCAGTCAGGAAGGACTGAATTTATAGACAAGGAACCAGAGGCTTCGAGAAACTCATCAGCAAGATCTGGGAGTCAACAAAGGCTACCTGACATCATGCCCTGCCACGCTGAGTCAGAGAGAGCAAAAGAGACAGAGAAGACAGACAGACTCATAAAGTCTTCAAGACAGACCAGGAGTCAGTGCATCAAGTATGCAAAAGCTGGGAAAGAAAAAAATCCATGATGCTTGAAAAGACAAGGGCAGGTTTCTGAATGAGGGGAAAAAAAGAACACAACAAAAAGCCAAACACAGGGGAGCTCTGGTGGCCTAGTGGCAAGGAGCTGCAACTACAATCCCAGAGGTGCACGGTTCGAATCCACCAGATGCTCTGCCGGGGAAGGAGGAACAATCTCCTCCTGTACCAGCCAGATCTAATTTGACAGTACACTCACACAAAAATAATAAATTTTTTTTTAAAAAAGCAAAACACTCTAATTTAAACCAAAGGAGGAAGTTCCAAAATCCTCATGCAATCAGGATGATGAAATTTCATCTCACGCACTTTGAACATGTCATCAGGAAGGGTTAGTTCTTGGAAAAGGACGTGATGGTGGGGAAAGTGGAGGATCAGAGAAAAAGAGGAAGACCTTCAATGTGATGGACTGACTGTCAAAATGGGCTCAACCATGACAGGCATTGTGAAGATGGTGCGGGATAGGCAAGGTTAAGATTTGTTGTTCACTGGATTACTATAATTCGGGATCAGCTCAATGGGTAAACACACAACATAATACAAACAATGCAGCCAAACAGCAAAGATCTCTCAGCTCCACATCTTATCTAGAAGTTCTGAATTGAGTGTATCAGAGATTGTAAGAATGGCACAGGATAGGACAAGGTTCAGACATGTTGTTCATAGGGTTATGAGTCATACTTGACAACACCTAACAACAACATCACCACTGATAACTGAATGAGATGACACTTACAGAACGTCTGCTGGAAGTGGGATAATGTGGGAGCCTCCGGGGCGATGTTGTAGAAGTGGGTCTTGAGAGCTCCGCTGATGAGCAGGTTATATGCAAGGTCAGTTATGTTGATCCCCACAATGGCAAAAGAGTACCTGAAAACATAAGTCACAAACAAGCTCTGTGTTATATGTGGCAAATAAAAATTATACAAAATAACTGCTGGATTGCATTCTACTGCATGAATGTATCACAATTTCTCAATCCACTCAGTTGTGGTTGGACATTTGGGCTGTTTCCATGGTCTTGCGATGGTGACTAAAGATGCTATGAACATTGGGGTACAAATCTCTGTTTGTGTCTTAGATCTAATTTCCTTGGGGTATCTTCCTATTAGTGGAAAACCTGGGTCATCAAAGTTTCTATGTTCAGCTTTTTTGAGGAAATGTCAAATTGTATTACAGAGTGGTTTTACCATTTTACAATGCCATCAACAGTGTAAGAGACACTCAGGAGCAACCATTTCGAAAAACATGATAAAACTTGAAGAACATTATGTTGAGTGAACTCAGTCTCATAAGGACAAACACTGCATAAGACCTTTATTGTGAAAATAGAAGGTTAACTAGTAAAACATGTATGGGAACCCAAGGGGGAAAGGGCTGGGAACAGAGGGGTGAGGATGGGTGGGGGCAAACCCATAAGGTTGCACAGTTTGGTGGGTAGAAGGAGGGGGAAGGAAGTGGGAAGGATCAGGGGGAAAAGTCAGGGTAATGAGAGGCAAGATCCAATGGTGATTAATTTTATATAACATAATGCATGAGGTCACTATGAGTTGCTATGACTCGATGGCACTTAACAACAACAACAACAAGAGAGCCCTGTGGTATAGCACTGCTCTGTCCATTTGCTGTACAGAGGTAACTCATAGTTGCTGTGATGCTAAACACTGTGACAGTAATGTGTCAAATGCAATAATGGTCACCCATGGTGGACAGTGTTTGGTGGAACTCCCTGATT